TTTTTCTTACTCCAAAATAAATACAAAAATGTTTACTTCTTAAAAAAAACAATTTCATTGCGCGATAAAATTACTATAGAACAGAGAAATAAAGTATAACAAATGTCAAAATAATCAATAAAATCGGTTCGTAATTCGTATCTTATGATATACACATTCACACACAATATAGATGTACGGAAACCTTCCTTTTTGAAGTCCTCTAAAATTGTATACACAAATCAAAAACAAGTGTAAAAAAAATTGCAACTACCTCTTTTCATGACATATCTTTTATGTTCCAATAAACACTATTAAATATACTAAAATCAAATTTATTTAAATATTAATAAATGTCAAATAAAAATCTTCAGTAATTTGAAAATTTTATTGCAAATTAAATGCATATTTAAGGCACTTTTATTTTATTAACCTGTGTTAATAAAATTACATTATGATTACAATCGGGACAATGCACGCCCAATTAAACCGCGGGTGGTATACACTAAACACTAACTGTATCGATAATGCAAAATGCAACGGGCCAAGTCCTCTAAAGCAGTTCGCAGTATTTCCAACAGAAAATATTTGTAATTATTTTCGTCAGCTTTTCCGTGTATATCAATATAACTAAAATCAATTGCCGAATTGTTTGTTTGAAATACGTCACTTCATAATGACTGTACCTAATTAGTTGATTCTTTTTTTAAGAAAATATTTGATTTTTTGGTTAATAGGAAACAAACTGATGGCTCCTCGAAAGGAAACTGATAATCATCGCCTATAGATATGAACAGTACCGTGGACATAACAGAGTCTACTGTAAATAAGTAAAAAAATTGGGTTAAAAATATCCATATAAAAAGTGAAATAATGAGTAAGACAGATGATAGTATTCAAATTTTTATTGTAATTAATTACATAGTCATACTATAAAAGAGAGATAAATCTCATTTTCTTTATTAGTACACCCGTAGAAAACTGCGGGTGTACTAATAAAGGTATAATCTTAGGGTCCAATCACAGTCAAAAATGGACCGATTAAACTGTTACCACGTTCTCACAAATCGATGCACTATAATAAACTGAGAAGTCTAGAAATCTTTTAATTCGGAGTATTTGATACTTAGTTTTCATCTATGTAAAGGAATAGGAGACGAGAGTGAAGTATAATTATGTAGGTAGGTAGATAGATTTATATGTAAGTGGCTCCATAACCTGGTTTATCTGTTTAAATATACATTTATTACCTTAGTAATAAAAACTAAAACCTACAAAACTATTTTAAATATTAGCATCTCTTATCACTTCCTTACGTATTACGATCTCAAAAAAAAAATTCAATAGCGATAATGTAGGTTTAAACAAATAAGGGGACTAATCTATAATTTTACAAAAATTTCTTACTAAAAAAATAGATATATAATGTTTTAAAGCAAAAAATACAATTACATATATAAGTATTTTGGCTATGTTACGCCTATCTTTCATTAGGATTGGCAGAAACAATAAATTTCTTTATAGTAATTCTTCTTACATCCATCCTTTTCGATTGACAAAACCAACACATTCTTTTTTAATCTTTGTTCAAGAGCATTTAGTCAATACTTCTCTTATCCATTTGCTAAATAAAACAAAACAAGAGTTATCGTTAATGCTCTCATTAATTTAATTTAATTTAATATAATAAACAAATTATCGTACAAACACCACAAATTTTAAACTTGGCCTATCTAACTACTGTGCACCTCAATTTATAATAGCAACTAAGCTATGTTTTTAGCAAATGGTAACATCTTAAGATTAGTAACTTTCCTGCGGGTATGCAACCGGAGCTCGGATGGTAATGGTGGTTTAAACCGTCGTTAAACATAACGTGCCATTTAAGGTTGAACAAATATCGTATCCTTGCAAAATATTGTAGCCACCCAGTATTTTCATGTTTAGAAATAGTTTTGTTGATCATAAATTGAAATGAACATTTCCCACTTAGCAATTAATACAAGTTAGGAATCGACTACCTTAGTTTAAGTTTAGAATTTTATTCTATTGATAAACAAGTTATTATATAGTTGATAAAAAATATTTTATTTAATTCCGCCTTCATTGGTGTGCGTGCGAATGCCAACATTTGAAAATTGACCACTATTAGTAGAATCTTTATAACCTTCCCTCTTAGTCATCAATCTCTGACCATTATTACGTCTATGCTCATATTGCTTGAAAATTTATAAATTAAATAATTATAAATTTACTAGCTCTATACCCGCGACTTTGTCTACGTGACTAGAATAAAAAATAAGTATGCACAATAAATGTATTATGTATAATTGTTTTAGTATGTTACTATAATTATGTCGCATATTTTTCACCACATCTACACTTCATACGCTTTTTGATTTTACCAAATGGTTAGCTGGTAGAGAATGCCTTGCCACAAGGCATTCTCTACCAGCTAACCATTGGTTAGGTTTACCACTTTTATACAGTTTTATTGTAAAGAATAAATAAATAAACAATAAACTCTTTCTCTTTTACCTCTTTTTTTATATTTTTAAAACTTATATTCAATTTTCAAAGATGTCTACATATCTATCTCTATTTTTCTCCATGCTAAATATTATTACTATACGTGTATGACATATTACATGATTGATTGAGCCGTAAAAGCGCCAACAAACCAACAAAAATACAAACTCACTTTCACATTTATAATATCAGTGAGTATATTAATCGTGTTAATTAAGATTTATGTTGTGCGCGCATCGTGATCGGATTTTACAAAAATGTGTTAATAATGTTAGTGGCTCAATTAATTTAATCAAACTATTTTAATGTTGACACAAACATGATCGCCATCTTTGATTTTGTGATAAAAAAACCGTTCTATTTGTGAACTGGTAGCGAACTTGGCATTATTGTTACCAAGATTTATAATGTTTTATATTAATAAAATCAAATTTTCCATTAGGTGCTTCATTGGTAATAGCAGATAGATTTAAAAGACATCTATATTTGTTTTATATCTATATATTAATACCTGAAGCAAAAACTTTGTACCTCATTTTACGAAAATAGCGCGGACCAAAGAGTATGAAATTTGACACACTTCTAGTTTATATAGAGAAGCAGTGCAGAATGATGATACTTTAATAAAATTATGCATAAAAAATAGATTAAATCAATAAAAAAAACAACATCACACACACACTACCATGAATTTAATACATACACACTCACACACACACATATATACTCTTTTGTTTATTGTTAAAGTATACGGTCAAACTGAGAATAGATTAATATTGTCTTTAATATTATTTGTCTATGGTCTTACTGAATGACAAATATAACCATAATAAATTCATTTATTACAGTATACATATACATATACACACACACACCACACACACATATACACACACACACCACACACATGCATGCATGCACACACACGCATGAATGCATTTAGATATACTTATTACTAATATTAGATAATGTTTATGTCTTAATTTTATGGTACTATGATTTGTATTTGCATGGTTATGGAGGAGCGTGACCTTCTGATACAGGTGATAACACTTACTAGAAGGTCACCACAACGATCTTAGTATTGTATCAATTTTGTTACGAAATAAATATTTTTCATTTTTCATTTTTCATTTTCATATGTTATGGTTAAATTTATATGTATATATATATGTATATGTATATATGTTATGGCAACCACTACTTTATTTAAATGCATACAAAACTCTGCACCGAAACTAACTATTCTTTTTTCAATCGATAGGAAGCATTCCCATACTAATTTTATTACAATAGATTCGCTGCATTTGTGAAAAAAAAATCTTAAATGATTCTTATTAAAAAAATATTATTAATAATTAAGTACAAATTAAATACGTAAATACTTACTAACGAGATTTTTATCTAGATTCAAATTTCAACTAATTGCTATAAACTTTTGCAATATGTTATAATAAATTTGTATTAATTATAAACAAATTTTGTATTAAATATAAATAAACGAAACAAACAAAACAAATTTCTTATTACAAAATTACTAAATTTTATTGTTAAAAGTTTGGTAAGCACACATTATATTTTAATGTAATTACTACCGGTTTAACTTACGTGTAATTAATTAATTAGATTGAGAAAGGTTGGTTACTAAAGTAATTATTACATTAAAATTAATAAATGGAGAGTTAGTTCTTTAGATTCTTTTAATTGTAGGAGAGCTAAAAGTTATGAAATCAATATGGCAGTTCCCAGAAATCAAAAACTTGTAAGAAAAAAAGAAGAATTTTAAAACTTAATGGCAACCAGGAAAATCTCGAGTCATTCGCTATACCCGCCCAAGATAAATGCACTTCGTTACCTAAGTTACGATAACAAATTGCTATCTCCATAAATCAGTCGGGTTATAATTTTCAACCGATGTCCGACACTGCCCATCGCAGATTGAATTTAATGCTCAATCGCTAATGTTCAGTCTTGCGACAATTTAAGATGCATTAGTATAGCTTACGGGCTCTTATGCATATTTATGAACAAAATAGCCAATTCGTTTGACCACAGAAAGTACCTGGTTATTATAAATGTAAGAGCCGTCTATGCGGTGTTGTGTTGCTAAATGGGAGGAATCACACTGTATTAATGTAATCATTTATTCATATAACAAATGGGAATGTTTATAATAATCTACACATATTGTAGGTACATAAATGCAAATGTTGGTGTCTAATACTCGATTCTGTATGCTAATACCTCGTTCATGACTTGAGGGTTAAAAGCCCGTTTTTTATAAATCATTATAGATTAATTTCTATAATCCGCCCCATTTTAATAGGCACCTCGCGCTACGGGCGTAATATTAACTGATAGTCTATATTGTCTAATACGTTTACAAAACCCTGGAGTTATGTTAGATATATATCATCACACCACACGTCATATTCCCATAAGCACTTAAACTTTTTCAAATATACTAATCACCGCCCTCTCTATTGTTTCAGAAGGATCTCTCGGACGACTGTTTGTTCCAAGAGCATTTAGAAGAAAACAATTACAACACATATTCGCGAATACGAAACGGTAAGAAGACCTTCTTAGCGCTGGACAATCGAGGGCGGGCGAGGCGGACTCAGATACCGATGAGCCGACAGCTCGGGAACCTGTCAACGTATGCGCTGACGCTAACCAGGAGATGGGACGGACACGGACACAAACCGACGCAATGCCCTCCGCGACGGCACAGAGGAAAACTGAAGAGGCCCCCACCGAGACATAGAAACTGCCTGCAACGGCTGCAAAAGCAGAATTTAAGACATAAACGCAAGCACAAGAAGGCTAACAACCCCAAAAAGAAACAGAGACATCCGAAGGCGCGGAGAAAACATGAGAATAGTACGACGACGACGACCGAAGTCAGCTGGGACGAGTCGACCATGTCGACCATGTCGACGACAACAGACGCCGAGTTTTTTCGCTCGGCGACCGCGCAGGAGGCGGTCGGTCGCGCCTGAGTCGCTCCTTAGTCGCGGTCGGGGCTGCCGTTGCGTTGTCTCACTAACACCGTTCCACGCTTACACGCGTTTGAATCTCTATATCATTCCTGTAGAGTGCATAGAGCGTCAGCACTCGAAAACATAGCATTGCATTGCTCTCTTAGACGGGTGGCGGAACTAGTGACCTGGTCGTTTCTCCTCTTGATCGGTTGCGAAAACTTACTTCTTTCTTCTGTAGTCGTAATACCCAAATACTCAACTGATACGAGTCATGTAAAGAACAAACGGCGCAACTGCCCTGCATTGAACAATAAACTAACTGATATTATTCTACCAAAGCTACTGAAATCATCTATCTCAATTTATATTCCTAGTTCGCTTTAAAAATATAGGTTTATTGGCAAGATTCCATTGTCTTAGTTACTGTATCATGAAATTATTAATGTAGATATTGCTAACTTATATTCGATAATCTCAATTATCGGAGCACTTTAATTTAAACGAGTTGTGATCATCGGTCGGTAAGGTGGAACCGTGTTACGTGTTTAGAGCATTCCCGTTCGTGGTGATCCAAATACTTCGGTACCGTTCAGTCTTAATTTTATTTGGTTCTTTAATTTCCAATAAAAGCCAAATGGACTGTAATATCGGATGGCACTATATTTGTTATTGGTGTATCGTCCGAATCCATTTGTTGGTCAACTCCTAAGATTTCTATTTAATTACAGCTAAGTGATTCGTTAATGGACCTGATAGAAGACTTCGGTTCCGTTACAAACGAATAGCATTTATCGCCCCCAAAAATCTTAAACACCCGTAATTTTCCAAGTTTACAAAGTGCCCTCTCAAGAGCATATTCAAATTAAGAAATTATCACTTTAATTCCTTTGATGGCCCCGTTGTGAACACGAATATTAATATCGAAATTAGTTTACGTATTTTATTGCTCCGATATGTGTCCATTTACATATGAATGCTTTGGATTGTCACGCACTGGATTTTTGGGAAGCTTTTGTACTTAGATTGAATGTGTTGAGGTGTAATTTCATAAGAATATGACTGAGATATGGACTGAGTAATGTAGTTTATGTTGGTTTCGGTCTAGGGTACGATAGGATAAAGTATGGTGCGGCGTAACGGCATGCTTCTATATTCCATGCTAAGGTGTCCGATTGTCGGAGGCGAGTGGTCGTCGCTCCAGCAATAGACTGTACAATTGTCGAAACTGGATAAAAGATTGCGCAATGCGAACGATGCACTTAAATCACGACCACTTGCCTCTAAATCGTCCAAAAACGGAGTAGTGATAAAAAACTAACATCAGAGAAGTGACTATTAGTAAGTAGTTTTTAAAACGTGTATCTAATTTGTAAATTTATTTATTTTCCATAGAGAAAGTGTATTTTGTTAACGTTTTAGTTGATGTTTTTTTATTCTCTTTTTTCCTTTAGTTCCAACCGAATGTAGATGTGTAGAATTTCATACGCTTGTTATTTTTAGTGAGCCAATTTTATTTGTATTATAATTATAAGTCCGTTCGGTAACAATATGTGCTCTGTATGCAGTTTGTATGGAAATTATGAATGCATTTGCAAATATTGAGATTGGATGGATTCACTATTACATTCTACATATTCGATAACCCTCGCATTCTGATATGTGCGTAAATCTTGTAGCTGGAACCCTTGTCACATTGTCAACGAACATTCTATTCAAATTTAAATTCAATTTGTTTTTCAAATGTTTTTACATTAATGGAGCAAAAAGTTATAAATATTTTTTAATCTATGCCCAAGAACTTTTATTGTTTGTAGGTAGGAAGGAACTTCTTTGTGCTTTGTGTTTTATTGAGCGCTTGACAAAGTAAGTTACTCCTCGGGAATATTACCCAAAGGGTCCATCTCTCCATAGTAATTATGAGTGTTACAGTCGATTCTGTGATGTCCATATTGCTATTTATACTTTTTCAAATCATAATTGTTTTGTTGATTATTTATTAAAAATCTATTTAATATCTTTTTAATTCTATACTGACTACGATAAATTAGTTTTACTTGTATAATCAAAATTTACTTTTGTTTATGACATATTAATTTTTTACTAAAAATTATTAATTTACTTGTCTATAATTATAAATAATTATGAATATATAATACTCAATACCATGAATTACCTATATAATATATTAACTTAGTTAATATTCAATTATTCTGTACGCTGACAATGTGAATAAGCGTTTTGTGAATATCATTCAGCAAGCTTTATGAATGTACCTATGTATGTTAGACGAATGATATTTTGTATTTATTATGTATGTATTTATATATTTTAGTTGATCAACGAAAGCGACAATAAATCGGCGCTCAAGTAGCATTTAGTGAGACCAATATGGACGAAATTGGTTGGCGCAATCCTATACATACTATTAACGTACTATATTTTTAAAAGCGTTAAGATTTCTTGTCACTTTTGTGCAATAAATTATTAGAAACGCGGTTATATAAATTTGACTCGTTATTGTATACTAAATTAATGCAAATCGATCTTTATGTTAGTGTAGAAGCAGTATTTTGGCATTGTTAAAGTGGATCCTTTACAGTATCTAGTTTTGTAGTTTTTTAATAAATAAGATTGTAATGACAATAGCTGATCACTGATTTTGTACAATCAAAAAGTGGTTACAGGCAAGCTTTTAGTATTGCGCGGCGGTAGCAAATTCACTGTTATCTAGTAACGAGATTTAAAATAAAAAAAGCATAGACAATATTTAAAAACAAGTGTTCTTAAAACTAAATACCCATAGACTAAACAAAACAAATGAAACCGTATATGTAGCTCATAGACTAAGGAATATTGGTCCTTAATCTAGAATGTAGCTAATATTTTTAAAAAGTATGCAAATGACATGTACATTGTATATTAATCGATTAATTTAAATCGATTTTAATAGAATAATGTGAGTTTGCGAAGCACGCTATCGAAGGTGTAAAAATATGAATCGTAAGTTTATCTTATTTATACATGTGCCATATAACACTAGCCCGCCTGGCTATACCTACCGATCCAATGTACACTTAATCCCAATACAATCAATGTTTTTTATACCATCCAATAAAATATAAATTTGTTAAGAGTGTTCATGTCGAAATCTGATAATTTCTGTGTTATGTTAATTTTCTTTTCATTCACTACAAGACCACATATTTAATATAATAAATACATTCTAAAATAATAAAGTTAACATATAATACTGATGTTGTCAGAGTTTGGGGTGAATACTCTTAAATCCATACAATTTATAAAATATCTACTTAATACAAAATCAATAAAATCCAACAATCCTCTGCTCTGTTTCACTTATATGTATATAAAACATTAATGACAAGATGAGTCAATGCAGTATTAATAAATTAATTTCGATACATTTACATTTTACAAGTAATTGATGATAATGAATATGTGACATTTGTGTTTACAATCTTACAGTGCATTTACAAATTACAATGTACATTAAAATTTCGATACTGATAATTATGAAATCGTCATGGTTAAATGGTTCTAAAGTAGAATTTAATCACATTTTTACCTACCTACGTAGTTTTACCAAAAGATTGATGGAAACTTTTGGACAATAACTTTTTACAGCCTCTTATACTGACAAATAAAAATGATTCTACAAATATAAAACATGGTTTCATTTCATTTATTTATTAAGGTACTTATAAAACTGATACTATAAACTTTGTTTTTGATAGCAAAAAAGATTTTAAAAATTCCCCAAGTAGAATATGGAATAGATGCAATTTTTCGTGATTTATATACAATAGTTCTGTGATTCTGCAAGCTAATTTATCACCTTCGTGGTATAAAAATATATTTTACTTGTCTATCAAATACTTTCGTAAATAGAACAGAAATGTATAAAAAATATATATGTTTTTGAAAATTGACAGTTATTTTAGTATGAACACTCTTAAGGCCCCAGAAAGAAACTACATCTATATGGTTGAACTGAAATATTTTTTTCATTAAATACCACACGTTCTTTGAGTAGAGGTACCAGCTATATTATACCGGGTGTAAGGGACACATTGGCAAAAACTGAAACAAAGATTTCAGTCTTTTATTCTGAACCGAAAGCCAGTGGAAATTCTTTAGGGAAAATTTAAATTTTTTCCTCTATTTTTCTCAGTCAAAATCATGTAATCTATGATATTGTGACATAATATAAAGAAATAATAATATTTTATAGTAATATACTATGAAATACCAAAAAATAGTAACAGCAAACGTATCACGCGTCGTGTGGATCGTAAAATTTCAAATACATTGCGCGGCGTCAAAACTAAGATTCGTCAATTATATATATGGCTGTGGTGCATTTCCGGCGGGAAACTAATTTGCCATCTGATTCAGACCATTCATCTGGATCAGCTGTTTTTGTTTTGGCCAACCTGTCCCTGTAGAATAACAATGAATGTAATGCTGAAACCCCGACAAAGAATAAAATTAGGGGAAACATAATTTTTTTAAGACCAGAGGACGTCAACCTTACACGATTACTATTAGTAGTTTTTTTTTTTTATATAACATAGAATAGCAAACAAGCTGACGGCCCACCTGATGGAAAGTAGTAACCGTCACCTATAAGCATGAGCAGTACCATAGACATAACAGTGTATACTGTTTCGCCCATGATACCCCCACATGCATTGCCATTTCTGATGACTCAGGTGTTATTCCTCTGTACCCTGTAAATTCACGCCGTATCCCACCCTTCAAACCTAAACACAGCTATGCAAACACAACTGCTTCACGGTTGAAACATGAATGGGACAGAAGTACCCTAGCAATCGACTTTTGTACAAAGTCTCCCTCTGGTATATACATACGTATACAGTTATATACGTAATATTATATTATGTAAATATGTACATTGGAAGTGTAACCCTCACTAATACTAAACTGATCCGATTAAGACCGAACCTGGGAATTCATTAACCTGAAGCTCCATGCCTCTGCCATTGCACTGCAGAGCTCTTAAAGAGAAATAATCTAATAACACCAAAGGCTTCAATCTACTTTTGATGAAGTCTAATAGCCCCATTGCTAGGAATATATCCTATCAACTCGAAATCATCACGACAGGCCAACTGATCTGCTTTCATCTTCACCTATTATCCATTATTGGTGCCCCGCCAACATATACACATAGCTCAGGCATCATCAATGACAACCTATTCGGTGATGTTCGTCGTATTGTTCATAAATTCGTTTATGAATAATTAAAGTTTTTTTATGGAAAACAAAAAAAAACTTTCGGATATTCATTAGATTCAGCGCGGATAAGTATATGATATTTAACAAAATTTTGGATAATCTTTGTCAACCGTTAACGTTATGGTGAACGTTACACTCAACACGTCGATATTTAATCGAGCATGTTGAAAATCAACGTAACAGGAGCGAGCCTACCGCCATCTCTCGGATTTATTTTGGTTTGTTATCGGTGTTTTACATCAGTATTTTGATGGGTGAAAATGGTATGGTAACCCCGCCTGCGCTAACGGGATACGCTGGCGGAGCACCAGTGAAGGGTGATAGATGAGAATGAAAACAAGCCAGTTAGCCCATCATGATGAATTCATCAGGAATTAGCCATGATAATTTCCAGGGGTCCTCCCTGGAACTATCAACGCGGTTAACGCGAGAAGGTCGACTTGGTTGGGTATATTGCTAGCAATGGGATTCTCAGTCTCGATTACTAACAATCCCTTTCCCCCTTACATCAGTATTGGACGAACATTTAAACTACCACAGAAAATCTTTGTTGTTTTTCAATCTCGAACTCAGAACCTTTAAGGCCTGTAAAACAGGGTTTGTCTACCAAATAAATTCAATATTTACACTGAAGTACATTTTTCACAATGCAAATATTTGCATTATGAAAAATTTTATGTTCCCAGCATAAATAAAGCAGTAAAAGGCAACTAAGGAAGGTTGAGGGATGTGCAGCAGCGTCTGTTTTAAAACATCTCCAAAGCCTAACTGCGGTTGCCAATCTGCCTGCCCAGCATGACAACTACTGGCAACCTCAAGGGGAAAGCTTATGTTCAGTAGTAAACAGTTAAAGGCTGATATGATGAAATATTTGCACTGTGCTGGAATCGAACCCACAATCATAAGAATACGAGGCAATGTGTTAAACTACGCCAGTAAAATCCTTATTTAAACATTAAACGAATTTAAACATCAACTGACTTGCGTAGAAATAATGTTGGGCTTGAACCCGCAACGATCAGACCAGAGGGAGACTTTGTACAAAAGTCAATTGCTTGGGTACCTCTGTCCCATTCGTGTTTTAACCGTGAAGCAGCTGTGTTTGCATGGCTGTGTTTCGGTTTGAAGGGTGGGATATGGCGTGAATTTACTGGGTACAGAGGAATCACATCTGAGTCCTCAGGAATGGCAACGCATGGGAGGTATCATGGGCGAAATAGTATAGTCTGTTATGTCCATGCTACTGCTCATGTCTATAGGCGACGGTTACCACTTTCCATTAGCTTGTTTGCCATTCTAAGTTGTATAAAAAAAGTGAGGCATTGTATTAAATCACTACATCACCTAGTTTCTCAATTGGACAACTGAAGGTGAACTTTATTTAATACCACGTGACTTGCAAAGAAAAAATTACGTAAGTATAAAAGTATATACGATGCAGCTTGTACGGGTAACGAGCGAAACTTGAAAACATCTTTACATATGAATCATTATAGACTTTGCTTTATACAAACCGGACGATGTAAAAAGAACAAGTCCGTTAATATTACATATATACATATCTGTCACGCCTATCTCCTATTAGAGTAGCCAAACAAAAACAATGGAACGCCAAATGCATTGATTTAAACAAACCTCTTTCGCTTCTTCCACGTTAATTAATCTTTTCATATCACACATCCTCGCCGCTTACGGGTACTTTTAATTTGGCTCATCTTCAGCACTTCGCCTATTTGTTCGACATACCTCTATCTCTCCGTCTAAGGTAGCCCCTACCGACATCTCCATTTATTTTGCTCGATACATCTCTTTCGTAATTCTTCTTCTCGTAATTTTTCATTCATCCTCTCCTACGTGGCAAAGGAATTCCGTAAATATTGTCGTCAATGTTAGAGGCCTATTAATCTTGATGGACCATACAAAGCAAATATATAAGATCCGTGTAATATGGGCTTTTAACTGCCCGAGTATAAGAAAATGCAGTTTAAGACGATCCCCAACTAAACGAAGCTGCAACGTCGAATGTAATAATAATATTCGAATAAAATGATTTTTGCAATAGTGAAATTATTGGATATGAAATATAATAGATCAGTGCTGTGGAACTATAGTCCTGATTCTCGGGGTTGACAACGGAATGATGCTTAAACAGTATTAATCTGTAATTTCTACGGAGCAATTCATATCTAAAGCACACAGTCAGGTACTACTTTCCATTAGACAGAATGTCAATTTGTGTTCAGCATCATATCAGCTTTTAACTGTTTACTGCTGAACATAAGTCTTCCCCTGGGAGGGTTTTGTCAGTAGTTGCCAAGCTTGGCAGGTGGATAGGCAACCGCAGTTAAGCTTTGGAGATGTTTTAAGAGGGATACTGCTGCCCATCTTTCGCCCTCCCTTAGTCGCCGCTTACGACACTCACGGGAAAGGAAGGGGTATTCTATTCTATGACGGGACTACATGGGAATTCTAAGTCTTGTGTAAAAGTAATTATCTTACCAATCAATACCAACATAATGCGAACGAAAAAATAATAAAACCTTGCAAACATAGCATGCAGACAAATAACACAAAGTGGCGCCACTATGTCATGATATAGGTGCCAATTATATGCTACCATTTTAAATTAATTTTATCTTTTACTAGGTCTATAGCTCTACATATATATCTGTGGTCTATAGTTTTGTCAGAGTCATAGACAAGACATGACTAATTATCCCGCCTTGTTGATATTTCTGATTTTTTAAATGTTACACAATTTTCAAGAATTTATATTATAACATATTTAAAATTTAACATCCTAAGTGAATCTAAATACGAGTACATCATCAGAACTTAAATAAATTTAATTTTCCTATTATTGAGAAAAAGAAATACTATTAAGATTATTAAACAAAAAAAAATAACATTTTTTATTTTAATTTGTGAACGATATTTTTTCTTTTGGTGGACCCTACTTAAAATCGATTACAATTTCAGTTTATAATGTTGGTAGTACAGTAAAGGACAGATAAATTAGAGCTCCTATGCGTGCGAACGTGACAAATTTATACAGGCAGCAAAACTTGTTTTCGCATTTGTTAAAGTTCAACCGTATATCAATGACATAAAAGTGATATGGACTGTAATTTTATTGTTGTATGGTATTGGACCAACGCCATCGACTCATCGAATGAAGGTCATCAACAGCTCGCACTCGTACAAGCTCGATGTTCCATTCGATCGCCATCTTGTTGAATAAAATCAACTCGTGATAACTTTTGATTCGATACGCGTTCAATCGTTTTATACATTAGAATTTTGCCGGCGAATTGATTATAAAGTGAGAATCGATATTGAATCACTATGAAGAAGTGTTCATCAATCGCGTGGCGATTTTTTGATCGTATTGAAAATGAAAAGAAGAGATGTATCTCGGTTATGTGCAAATTATGTGATACTCAGTATAAGTTTTTCGGTAACACAACAAACTTGAGACAACATTTGATAAACAAGCATCCGCTACAGTGGGAATTAGCACAAAATGGAACTTTCGACGAGAGTAATTTTCGTATCGACGATGACGAATCAAGATCCTACGACAAAAACGTACGTTACTCAATATCAGTTGATAATTCAAGAAATCCAACAGGAGAGCAGATGCCAAAAATTGAAATACAAAGGGTACCTATAATCTTCTGTTTAGGTTATAATATGTTCTTATCACTCACTACATTCCAATGTTTGCATTGAATTGATAAAAATAAACACATACTCCAGCGATTATCTGTCGATAATGATCGTCCGAGTAGATAAATGTGAATGTCAGATTATTGTTTAAATAAATGTTTTACCTACCAAATCGGTAAATCGATTCTAAAACGAATCGATAAATTACAATTCAAATATAACCAGCCAATTATAGATAAATAAATACTTGTTATAATACTCTACCTGTGAGAAATCTTACATAAGAATGAAATGTTATTTACCAACACTTAACGAAATTAGTTAACTTGGGGAGACCGCGTGTAGGTCGATCTGACAGGGTAGAGTATAATGTTAACAATTGCATTCGTTTCCAATATTAATAATCTCTTCTCTATTTATTAGATTTGATATCACCCCATACAGTACTGATTTAGTGACTGGTGTGTAGTAACGCTAGGGTACTTATATCCTATCTCATAGATAGATGTGTATGATAGATACTAAAGAATAATTGTTCTATTGCAGATTGACGTATTAGAAGCATCGGATGTGGAGAACGACAATAGAGACAATGAAGAGTCAGAGGCCACCTTCAATCTAGTGAAGCAATTGCATGAGAGCTCTGCCCTACGAGGCTCAGACGAGGAGTGGCTAGAAGACGATCATTACCAGACATATCAACCAAAGCGTAAGAAAGTCGCATACAGAAAAATAAAAAGGGAAATACAGACACCACCGAGGAGAACAAGAGAAACATATCGGCCAGTGAAATATGAAAAGTCACCGGTGATCGCAGACATCACAAGTTACCGAGACGAGTACTCTGTATTTGGTGAATATGTGGCAAATAAATTAAGAAAGTTCAAAGTGCCCCGTACTCGAGGTAATTTGCAACAGTTGATAACAACAATACTGTGGCAAGCCGAGTATGGGACATATGATAGTGCGAACGCTGTGAAAAGAGTACTTATGTACTCGGTACAAGATCCAGAACCTGGACAAAGTACAATCCATCAAGATCAAGACCCAAGTATGGTCCAGCATGTTCTTGAAACACACGTACAAGCAGAAGAAGTTGTGGAAGAGCAGCAAAACACGCCAAACTAAATGAACCAAAGTATCTAAGTGGAGTGAGGTTAATTATATTTAATTAGCAATAATGACAAATATATTACACGCTTAATGTTCCATAAAATAAATTTATTGTGGTTTAATATTTCATTTCCTTCTTCTTTTAATTTCTGCTTTTATTTATTTATTCTTTATTGTACACAAAAAATTACAACATATAATATATATAAAATAAAGATGTACAACAGGCGAGCTTAACTCTGTAAGAGTTCTCTTCCAGCAAACCCTGAGTGGAAAGGAGCATTAATTACTTAAGCAGTATGCGTTCAATAATAGAAGGAAACATTATAGATGTTTCTATTAAAAAATAATAAATAACAACTTTTAAACAACTGTTATTGCACATCTGTGTTTCGGTTTGAAAAGTAGGGGTTTTTTTTTTTTAATGGGTGATAATGATATGGTAACCCCGCCTGCGCTATCGGTATACACTGGCGGGGTACCAGTGAGGGTTGACAGATGAAGATGAAAGTAGGTCAGTTAGCCCATCCTGACGAATTAAACTAGAATTAGTCACGACAGTTTCCAGGGGGAACCACGTGGAGGTCGACCTGACAGGGTATATTGCTAGTAATAGGGCTATTTGACCCCATTACTAACAATCCCTTCCCCCCCTGAAAAGTAGGGTACAGCAGTGAAATTATAAGGTACATACATCTCAGTAATGGTAATGCATAAAACAGGGGGGATAGGAATTGTTAGTAATGGGGTCTAACTGACCTATTGTCAGCAATACACCCTATCAGTTTGACCTCCACGTAGTTCCCCCTGGGAACCATCATGGTTAATTCTAATGGAATTCGTCATGATGGACAAACCTGCTTTCATCTTCACCTATCATCCCTCACTGGTGCCCCGCCAGTGTATACTGATAGCGCAAGTGGACTTATCATTCCATTATCAACAATTTAAAAAAATGCATGAAACAGCATGGGTATCACAGTATTCTGTTATATACATAGTTCTGTTCATGATTATAGGTGACGGTTACCATTTGCCATCAAGGGAGCTGACAGATCTCATCCCAAATTAATTAAAAAAAAATGATTCAGTCTGATCAAAATTATATCTTGATTTTTGTTTTGTTGAATGAAAATGGATTGGTAATCCCGCCCGCGCTAACGGGATATGCTGGCGGAGCACCAGTGAAGGGTGATAGATGAGAATGAAAACAGGCCAGTTAGCCCATCATGATGAATTCATCAGGAATTAACCATGATAGTTTCCAGGGGGAACCGCGTGGAGATCGACCTGGTTAGGTATATTGCTAGCAATGGGATTTTTAGTCTCCATTACTAACAATCCCTTTCCCTCTTATAACTTGATTACTTAGCGGTTTAGCTGACTGCCTTATGATTGCAAGTTCAATCCCTGTATATAACAAATATTTGTATTTAGAAATGTGTTGGTTTAATTGTTTTGAAATATATGTAAATATTTTTGTTATTAAACGTGACACTTTCATGCTTTAGTGGTTTTTTTAATGGATGAAAATCATATAATACCTCTGTCTGACTTATTGGTTTTCACAGACAGAGTACCAGTAAGGTCAAAGTCAGTCTGCCTACCACGTTTCACCAGGATTTTAGTTCCACTGGGAACCTCATAGAAGATATATAGCAATGAATCACTGGTCCCTATTACCAACAATCTCTTTTTTTATAATAGATGAAGATTGGTGTATCTCCCTATACTAGTGGTGACAGTGGCACGGTACCAGCGGAAAATGAAATCGGGTCTCGTGATGAATTCAAGAGGAATTAACTAAATTATCAGGAGGGACCGCGTGGAGGTCGACTCGACAGGGTATATTGCTAACAATAGAGATTATTTAACCATAAAATATAAATTAACGACCACCAAAATAAAAAAGAAAAGCATTTATGAATCGATATTAATGATTATTCAGTTCAGTATTAATTTGGTCACGATTGAACCTTTGGTTTTTTTTTAAATTATCAAATTTTTATCGTTTACCCTATATATTTGCGAAGTCAAGAAAATATACAAAATAACTTAAAATAAGTTAACTATTTAACGAGTTCGTATTATAAAGTCACGCATGCGCAGTTTGGTATAAATCTCTCTCCATCCCACGTTTATCTCTCGCTCGCTAATGTCAAACGTCAAACAGCTGTTCTGCCAACATGGCCACGTTAAGTTGTACGTTTAGTAAAATAATAAGAAAATTAAAAATTTCACCAGTTTTTACGCGTAATTTTAGTAATGTGAGATTAAAAAGTAATAGTTTTAAAACTGTTGCGACATGTGCTTGTGTAATCGGCGGCGGTTTGGTGTTCTATGCTGTAAAAAGCTTTGGAAATATCGATACAGTCTACGCTCTCAAAGCGAAGGTATGTCATTTATTTACAATCTTATCACTAAATAATAAGGAACTACGTACGGCGTGACTTGTAAATAGTAATTTTATGTATAACTTATTCTAAAAAAGTATATGAACCATTACTTATGTCATTATAAACGTAAACCGCGCAGTCGCAATTCTTGACTTGTTGTTTATAAATAGCACCGCTTTTGACGTTTAACTTTGTGTGCATTCAAGAATACGAATGTACTACATAGACATTCTAAATACACGTGGTTCGCTCCAGTAGATATTCTTAAATACGTCTATATGTATAATATATATTTTTTTCAATAAATTAAGGCGATATTTTTAAACTTCATTTTATTTTAATACGATTTAATTATTTATTTTTTAATTGCCTACTTATTTTTTTCTCTTATATCTTTCTTGTGTACAAAAAAGTTTATCATTAAAACAAATAAAAAACCTCTTGAGACCAGTGGTCAGAAGTTAGCAATGATTGATTCACGTGATATGGGTGTCTAGATCTAAAATTAAAATCCAAAGGATTTTTTTTAATCCAAAAGATTTGGATTTTAATTTTAGTTTTCACTTAGCACTTAAACAGCAAGTCTGCATCTAAAACGTGCCTTTATTAAGCTTCTGACTTTTTTTAATGGGTGGTAGTGGAATGACAACCTTGCTTGCTTGAGGGGAAAGGGATTGTTAGCAATGGAGTTTGACAGCCCCATTGCTAGCAGTATGCCTTATTAGGTCGACATCCACGTGGTTCCCCCTGGAAACCATCGTGAACAATTCTTGTTGAAGTCGTCACGATGGGCTAACTGACCTACTTCATCCTCATTTATCATCCTTCATTGGTGCCCCGCCTGTGTAAACCGACAGCGCGGGTGGGGTTACCATTCCATTATCATCCATTAAAAAAAAAATCTTATAGATGATAGGTAAGGATGAAAAAGCAAATCAGTTTTTTTTCCCTGGAAATTGCCGTGATTAATTCTAGTTGAATTTGTCGCGATGGACCACTTGACCTGCTTTTATCCTCCTCTATCGTCTCTCGCTGGTGCCCCGCTAGCGTATACCGATAGCGCAGGTAGGGTTACCATCAGTGGTGTAACAATAGGGTGGCAGGGCTGGCAAAATGCCACAGGCCTCCGACCCAAAAGGGCTCCGGCTCAAGAGTCCGCGAGTTCAGAATTTTTTTTTTTTTTACATTATACCTGAGTATTTTATTTTACTTGAAAAATATTTTTTTTTACTGATAGGGCCCCATCAAAAGAATTTTCCACAGGCCCCAAATGGTATAGTTACGCTACTGGTTAATATATATACAATTATCACGCATTAAAAAAAACCTGCGTTTCTCGTCCGACGATACGAATATAACGTCCCACGTTGAGAAAATAAAAAAAAAAAACAACAGATTAGCGGCAGTGACGTCGACCTAAAGGATACAGGTACGTAGTTGCCTGCTAGTTGACGTCTGCAAGGGTAATGCAGTCGCAGTCAGATTTACATACATACTAGCTTTTTACCCACTGTTTCGTACGCGTGGTTTTCAGAAATAAGAAAATTAATTAAATAAATCACTTCTAGATAGCATGTCAACATAAAACACACCAGTTTTTAAGTTAGATCTTCAGGAACGTAAATGTGAAAATTGCGTCCAATTTGGTGCATTAGTTTTTGCATATATCTTCCATTCCATGTACAGAGATCATTTAGTTATAATTTTATTATGTTAGTAAAAAGTAAGATAAGATACGCGCTATGTGGTCCCGGCATAGAATGGATCATCCCCTTCTTTCCCATGGCTGTTACGAGACAAATAAGGGAACTTAATCGTCGAGGTACGGGCAGCAGCGTCATTCTTTTAGCATCAACAAAGCCTACCTGCGGTTGCCAACCCGCTTGCCAAGCGTGGCAAATACTGGCAAACCCCTCTTAATAGAAGAAGGCCCATGTTCAACAGTGGGCAGGTAGTGGCTAATATGATGGTGCTGATGATGAAGATAAGATACTAGGTGACCTGACAAACGTTTTGTACCCTTAACCCACTGACCAGGTACATCTTATCAATAATAAAAACTACCCTATATCTCAAGATGGAGCAAACAATACATATTTACAAAATTTCATTAAAATCGGTCAAATGCTTTTGAAGACTAACATAACATGAATGAACATCAGGATTCTAATCGTGACACGGGTTTTTTATATATCATATTAAAACTGTTTCATATTTTAATTATCTTTCAATTTAACGAATGTATAAATGATATAGACTTTTGTAATAAACAGTTTATCAAGAATTTGTATTTATGTGGGAGGTTCGTAGTTTTGTGTCTTCATCTACCAAGAAACCGCGTTATACATATTATATAAACATATTTACGTAATCCCTTTGCGATGTTTGATTAGTTTTTTTAATTTTTTTATACGATGTTACGATTATATTACCAATTTATAAACAATTATCATATCTCGGCTCAGAATTGGCGTATAATATCGCTTTATATACGTACAAATAAGTATTAAATTTGTGTTTCATAAAGAGAACCGATTTCTGTAGTGGCAACAGCAGTTTTTTTATTTAAAAACTACTGACCTGAAATAAATGCTCGTAATTGTAACTTGTATATAATTTACGCGGCCTTAATGAAGCTTGATGTAGCCATGTTTTTTTTAATAGAGCTCTTATAATATTTTCTCATTCAAATCTAATGCATAGACAAAATATTGTGCTTTTTTTACTACATCCACAGTCTAGAAACAAAAGTTTATTAACCAGTGAATATTGCCAGTGATAGTCTACAGAAACGAAACGTGGTCTTTGACTAATAACGAAACATTGGAAGGTAATGAGAAAGATCCATAGTTTCAAATACTAACTTATCTTTATTGTGAACCTTTATACTCGAAGAACTTACAACCGAGAAGAAAGGTTTATCAGTAGGGACCCCTCAAGAGACAAGGGAAGTGTAATACGACCCCAATGGATGATTGAAATAATGATTCAAACATAGACACTCAACTCGGCTTCATTGGTCAATACCAAACATCGTGTACAATTGACGCGTGTTAAAAATACTAATTTACACGTACTCATTTGTTTGTTATCATTTTAAAGTTTTAACAGCAGTGCTAGCTCTAAACGGTTCTAATATATCCTTTTTTGGCGCCGAATTCCTGGCGCATTGCACAACGGTTTAATTGAAGAGACGCGGTTGAGTATTATGAAATAGTATGGACGACCCGGTTTGGACTAATGGTAAAAAGTGATATCGAAAGAGCATATCAACGGAGACAACTTCAAATAACAGGCGAAATTTTACAGGAGACAGAAAGCATCCTAATTTTGAATTTATTTTAAATAAGATGATACCAAAAAGTATATAATAAAGTAAAAAATGTTTCTTTTGATAACATAGAGAGAGATACTAACTAAGATAGAAAAAATGTCTTCTTTAGAAGTCAACATGCACATACGAGTATATATATAACGGATTATGTTCTGAAGAACTCTTCAATATGACGCCTACAGACCTTTCACCATCATACCGCTCGCCATCAGCAGGGGATCTATTCTCATACCTTAGAACCAGATTGGTCACTCACAGTGTGGTTTCAAAGGATCCTTCTCCCGGAAACTCTGAGGTCGTGGAATAATCTTCCTGCCAAAATTTTTCATAGATCTTCACGACAGCATGAATTTCTTCAAAAAGGGCGTATTAATGTTTCTTAATGGCAACACGTGTGACATTTCTGGTATTACAGGCGTGTTTAGACTACGTTTACCATTAGATGGGCCGTGTGCTTGTTTGCTACCATATTTGTATAAAAAAAACATGAAAGTCGAGATCCATTTTCACGTATATCAGTCTTTCTTCTCTAAATCCATAGAGATCACTTCATTCGAATAGAATTTTATTTAAAATCATTAAAGATCGGTGCTTTTATGCTAGATTTCTATCAAGTCGACCTCCACTCGGTTCCCCCTGGAAAGAATCTTGCTGAATTTCAGATATGAATATATCACGATGGGCTAACTGACCTGCTTTTTTATTTTCATCTATCATCCCTCACTGGTGCCCCGCCAGCGTATACCGTTAGCGCAGGCGGGGTTGCAAAAAAAAAATAGATTATCTTTAATTAATACATAAGAAATCTTTGTACAAAATTTCTAAATCATATGCTTATTGAAATGTAAGTCAGTTTCGTTTATAAATACTGATAGTTCTCACAAGATACACACAGTAAGAGAAACATAAGGGACTGCACTTAAAAATCCGCCACCCGCGTCTTCATCGAGGCGGCTCTCATCAAATGAACTTGATGCTTACTTCACTATATTAATGACAGCTATCAATTCACGCCTCGTATAGTGTGGTGACCATCATTTTTGGATTATTTTGCACGGATATGGAGGTAAAACGATTTGACGCATAGATCGAAGTATCCAGTATGCGGTGCTGAAGAGAAGCCCATATTTCATCCTGTATATTTTTTTATACATTTTAAAATGGTAAGCCAGACCTCCTGATGAAAAGTGGTAACTATTATCTACTGACATGAATAGCACCATAGGACAGAGTACATTGCTCCTCATGTGTAACCATACCTATAATTTTATTGCTATATACAACTCAGTCGAGTAACGCCTGACTGCGGTCCGGTCTCTCAATATAGAATCTCAGCCCAAACTTATGAATTTTACTATTTTATATTTCCCTTATTGCAAGCATTATTAGAAATATGGTCTAAAAGTCCCATTTCTAGCAACCAGAGAGAGACTTTGTACTGTGTTTCGGTTTGAAGGGTGGGATATGGCGTGAATTTACTGGGTACAGAGGAATAACATCTGACTTCTCAGGAATGGCAACGCATGGGGGATATCATGGGCGAAACAGTATAGTCTGTTATGTCCATGGTACTGCTCATGTCTATAGGCGATGGTTACCACTTTCCATCAGGTGGGCCGTCAGCTTGTTTGCCATTCTAAGTTATATAAAAAAAACATATCCT